CAACGGCATAAGTCGGCGCCGAATGGATACTGTAATTTTGCAGGACAATGCACCTGTCCACCGCTCTAAAGAGGTACGAATTTGATGCCGCTTGCAAACATAATCTAACATTTTAGACAACAACCACGCTCTCCGCAATTGGCCTCCAATCCATTTTCATCCCGGCAAACAGTCCCGATCTGAATCCAATCGAAAATCTTTTTTGAATTGTCAAAAGAAATTGGCACAAAGCTAAGAAGACTCTTTCAATGCAGGAAAAATTGGATTTCATACTTAATAATTACATTTTACAATCCACCATAGATAACCTTGTCATGTCTATGTCGGACAGACTTTCTGCTGTTATTAATTCGAATGGACAATCTACAAAGTACTAAGTTTTTGCATCTGTTTCTGTCCTTAATTATTTTTGACCTTTTATGCGCCCTCCTCCTTTATACGTCCTCATACGTATCCTTTATTAACTTGGTTGTAATATAGGCGTTTCTCGAAAATGTGACTTTTGTCGAAAATTATTAATTTTTATCTCAGTAAATAATAGTTTCTTAACCAAACTTTGCTTTATTTCTTTGGCACATCGTTTATTTTCCGCTATCAGACTTTGGGAGCCGTAGTGTTTACCGATTTTGCGTTAAAGGCGTTAAGCTGTGTTAATTCGTGACATTTCATGAGTTAGCACAGGTACTCCCACTACTTAGACTCCACAAATATTTCCTTAGAGTATTGCTCTCCCCGAATAGACGTGGATTAGGCAAGCCAATGTACGACAGATCAGGTATTGTAACTTTAATTCCCTGACGTTTAACTGCAAATAGTCATCAGTGCGGAATTAAACTACCGCTTCGCCAAGAAAGCCAAATGCCTAGTCCATTAAAGGGGGCATATGATACGGGACCTTGCTTCACGGAATCCCGCAAACTGCGATTTTGTTTGTGCAGTATGGAATGGTATTTAGACATAAGCTTGGCGGCCTTGAGAACGGTGAACTGGGGTGCTGGAGGAGTTTGTTTTCGCCAGCCATAAATTACTCACGTGGGAAGTTCAGTTTTATTATTCTGATCTTCTTCTCCACTCGCAGGTGCCTGTGGTTGCATGAATAATCCAAAGCCTCTCAGTAAATTTTAAAGCCTGTTGTTACGTCTCACCATCAATTCCACTGAATCCGAGGGAAGGCCTATGTGCCTGGGGAAATGCACAATCCAAATCAAGCGGGGTTATTAGGTTTCCGTTTTTGTGTTAATTAATTCAGTAGTGGTCAAATGCTGCCACTTGACCAGTTACCTAACTGTTGGCAGAGGAAGGCCGTAGACGCCTCGGGCTTTTTGCTTGTCGAACCGATTTTGCAACATCTTTCTCACCCTAGTCGCTATTCGAGAACTTACAATACAAACAATAACAACAACTCAGCGACTATGAACTCTAACGAATTTGTAGAAACTTTTTAATAATGCGACAAGTGGGCCAACCTGGCTTCCAGGAGATACTGTCGAATGGCCTACATCCTCTTCTTCACCAGTCCGCTGTAGACGATTTCGTAAAACGCTTTGTGAATAAGCATACAAGCTATGGGCTCTCTGGAGATATAATGCGTGCTCAATGACCATCATTACCATCTGGCTGAGGAATTGCGTCATAAATGGTAGGTGGGTAGCTTCTTGTGATGCCTTCATTAGCCACTTGCTCAGCTCATATATAAGTATGCAAGAACGTATGTCCTGAAAATTATTGTCCCCTGCAGACCCTGGTCACTATAACCTGTCAGCTTGAACCCGAATTTGGACATCAGCTGAGTAAGAATTGTAGGCTAAACAAGGTAAGTAAAAATTCTGTTAGATGAAAATGACTCACGTGGGGCGCCGCAATGGCAGGCGCCGTAAGTAACACAGAATTCGGAGCGCCTTAATCTACGGCATGACTGTGTTGGTTTTTAAGTTGAATGGAAGGCGGCGATGGCAGTTTTTGGCCAAAAAACAGGCCACCAACCGTGAGCTCAGACCTGCAAAAGACAACTCAAACAGGTCATCCACTCATCTCTCTAGGGAGTGACATTGGTCTTCGTGTCCCTCTGCGTGTTCTAGTCAACAATAGGGAGACGGGATGACCGCAGGCAGCTGAGACATTTATTGAGAACTTTTCGACTTGCTTGGCGATGTGGTTTTAGCGAACAGAATTAATTCAGCAGCAAACTGTGGAGACAATAAAATATGCTTTATTGTGATAATCAAGGTGTTTCAGGGTTACTATCATTTTTAACCGCAGAAATGACTTCAGCAAGGCCCATGCGCCATAGGCCGCAAATTCGGACAACTGATTTATTCACATTATCTGGTTCAAATTTTGAAAAAAATTCACAGACACATGAATGTTTCCTACAAATTATTATGTAACCAACGATACTTGCGCACATACCTGTGCTACAGTAGGTAAAATATTCAATAGAGTCCAGGCAACAGTGCTTATTATTTTTATGGTATAGAAGACAGAATACAAACGTGAAACTTATCTTACACCTTCCGCTATGAGATAATTTCGAGTTCACGCTCCTCCTCCTTCTCCTATTCCTCAGGACCTTGTGCAGTTAACAAAAGGGGAATTTCGTTTTTTCAAAACTGGTCTAAGCCAACAAAGACTGTCAGTCGATTCTTTCAGGAACTGGATAAATCTTATTCTCTGCTGATGCCTCGTATGCATGGGCTGCGATCTTGTGTGGAATTTTCGCAAAACAGAATCATGGTTCTGGTTAAAAAGGGAAGAATGAAGTTATTGGCATATAGTTGACCCATCATCTGCCACAATTTCCGTTTATTACCTGAGATGCTCATCATAAAATCGAAACTTACGCATGAACTCCGCTCTCGCGGACGATCCTTTCCTTCATTCTCATCTGTATGGTCCTAATTCGACGGTAAGTTTAACGCCGCTCGATGTTATCAATTTGCTTATTCTCATAATAAGCCCACTGCTGTGAGTCATTCTGACTGTTTGGAGTTAACCGAAATAATCGACTGGAAATTCTGCTCTCTTTGCCAAAAATTAAGTAGTTGGCAATTAGACGGGGCCAATATCTTTCATTAAATTATTGCCATTGAAGTATTGCTATAACTACACGCCCTGTAGTTAAGGATGGACTACCTTTTCGGATCTCTTTAATTTGTATCTATGCTTTCACTTGATCTTATGAAGTAGGTTATATTGGTCGAACGACTAGGCGTCTGTCAAAATGGATGCGAGTGCGCCATCCTTCCTGGCTAAACCGAGGTGGGAAAGTCCATCTCTAGCATACTTGTGACTTACTTTGGTGACAGCTGCCACCGGGTACACATCAACCAAGCATCTGTGTCATCTATAACATGCTGGCGAGACACTCCAAGTTTCTGCGTCTGTTACTATCTGCGACGACAGATGCAGTGGTCATACAATCAGCCAACCAGCCTTGTGCTCGCTTTAAGCGTTTGTACATGCGCTGAGGTTTCCCTTGGGTAAAGACAAACCCAGCATTTGAGTTCATACACCCACGTCGTGTTATAGCGCCAGAACACGGACTCCTTCGTCCTTCTCCCCCTCCCTAAATCCCAGCCAGGACTAGAATCTGACCATTGAGTTCTGAACAACATTCAACGCCCTTCCCCATATTGTAATTTGTTGGATATTTACCGTTTGGGATTTTGTCCTTTTTTACTGTAAAGGCATTGCTGGACGCAGTCAACAACAACCCATTCCTCACTGCCTGGGACAGCAATTCCAAATGATAAAAAAGATGTATTTCACATTCTGGTATCCTCTAACTTCTCCTGGTAATCAGACTCGACCTAGTGATTGTGGTGCTCTATGTACTTCCATAAATTAAGCTCCACAAGTATTCATTTGAAACTCTGCTTTTCCAAACTGGATGTGGATTGCGCATATCAGGGTATCGTCATTTTCACCCCCTCAAGTTCAAATTAAAATAGTCATCGAGGCAAAATAAAACCATCGTTTCATCATAAGGACCTATAGGGAAGTCAATTAACGGGGTTAAACGAACTACTGCTTATGGCACCTAGATATGGACTTCTACCAAATGCGAGAGTGCCACACAAAGTCCCATAAATCGCGGTTTTGACAGCGCAATATGGAACAGAATTTAGACATATACTTTGTGGGTCTTGAAAACGGTGGGCTGGGGTGCTGGATGCGACTGTTTTCGCCAACGATAAATTAATTAAGTGCAAAGTCCAGCTTTAGTAATCTAACATTCTCCACCGCTCGTCATTGCTTGTGGTCGCATGTACGAACCGACGCCCGTTAGCTGATTTTATAGCCTGTTGTTACATGTCATCTTCAAATTCACTGAATGCAATGATTAAGAGTAAACGTACTTGACTTCTTCACTGAATATCTACGGATCACCACGCCAAACTTGAGTAAAGACCACGCAACTTGGAATAATATTCAGTAATATAGGCGGCGGGCTTGAGCCATTGTGAAATGGAATGATGGATGGCGTATATTTCTCTACTCAACCGTCAGTCAAGTTATACAGCATGAAACATTGCTCAGGTGTCTACTTTAATGGTAGGACAATTTCAATCTGCCAATAGAAACAGTCTTATTATTTAAATATGGAGCATATTCTGGGAACCCGTTTTTAGGTTAAAGTAGTGAGCAAATAAACACCAGTGAACACGTGCTCACTGACTTTTATTTCCTACGTGACTCGGCAGTGACTATTAACCTTAACGTTGGCTTTTGTTGAGATCAAGGGTTAACTGTTTCATCGGCATCAGGCATCCTGGACTATAGGTTGTTTCGGACGGAGGATGTTATCACTGGATGTATCATCGCTGTTTACCAACGTACCCGTGGCAGAAACAATAAACAATCTTTGTGATGTTATTCGTGATACGAACTACGCCATAGACATGCCTGTGAAAACGCTAAAAGAACTACTTACGCTTTGCACACAAAATGTCCAATTTCTGTGCAATCGTCAATTATACAGGCAGGTAGATGGTGTGGCAATGGGATCACCGCTTGGACCGTTCCTTGCAAATGTTTTTATGGGCAAAGTCGAGAAAACAAGCTTGCAAGAGACCATTAATGGCCTCGTCTTCTACCGTCGGTACGTGGACGATATCTTCTGCCTGACGGATGGTACCACCGATACCGAGGAGCTTGTCCAAAAGTTCAAAAGTGCGCACACCTCGCTAAAGTTCACTGCAGAGACCGAGGCAGATAACGAACGTGCCTTTCTCGATGTCCTTCTGCACAGGCAAGAGGATGGGTCTATCCAGCGCAGGGTGTTCCGAAAGAAAACCTGGACGGGACAATACGTTAATTTCCACAGTTTTGTCCCCCTTAACATCAAACGGAATTTAGTCCAGGGATTGGCGGCTAGAGTGAGACGCATCTGCTCACCTGAAGCTATTGAAGAAGAACTTCAACAGCTGCGGAACACACTTCGGGAGAACGGATACCCAGATAGATTTATCCTCCGAAATGTTGGGGAACGCGTTGAAAAGCCCACTGTTGCGACTGCGGAAAAGAAGGATGTATTCATAAGATTGCCTTTTAGAGGAGACGCAGAGAGCGAACTAGTCCGACGGCGCTTAACTACAGCTCTCACGAAGGCATTCCCTGCGGCGAATTTACGCGTATGCTTCACAAACTCTCCCCTCCTACGTTTGGGAGGTAAAGACAGACAACCGTTGGAGGCCACATCAATGTGCATTTATTCATTCACTTGCTCCTGTGGAGCAGGATACATCGGCCGCACAACGAGACGCCTGGTAAAGAGGGTACGTGAACATATGCCCGCCTGGCTAGACAGAGGTAAGACCCGGTCGATTTCGAGTTCTATTCTCGCGCATTTGATCGATACGAACCACCGAGTCGATGCCAAGAAAGCATTTCAGGTTGTCTACCGGACACCAACATGCTTCTCTAAAGGCCTACGCCAACGGATACTAGCAACGGCAGAGGCAGTAGCTATACGGTTAGTGAATCCAGTGTTATGCTGTCAGAAAACTCTGACACAAGCGCTTTCGCTGCCATGGCCAACGCCAACGCCAACCCCAAGTGATGAAGCCATGCCGCCTCAAATCCCTAATCACGATGATGGGTACTCCGTGTACTCAACCCAAGATCATTACTCAAAGACTCTCTTACCCCCCTCCCCTAGCCCTGACGAATAACACCCGCCGACCTTCTCATGCGGGCGGCGTGGGATGAAGAGTGTGAGTGACCTAATAGCCCTTGAGGCATCTATAAACACTGTTGATTTTGTACATTTTCATTCGTTCATGTAATTGTATTGGCCTGAGGAAGAATTACCGAAAACGTGCGTTCGCCAACTTGACTGTTCAACTCTAATATTTGTTTGGTCAGCAGCAATGCAGCCGTTTTTATTAACGCTGACATTGTAGAGGTGCCCAAATTGCAATTTTTGGAGAAAACACAAGAAATACACATCGCCTACAACAACGTCACCTAGACTGAGTTGCCAGTTGTTTTGTTTATGGTGTATCGGCGAACAGTCGTTCAAGTGCATTTTTTATTCCCTCAATCGGACTACTATAGAGATGTCAGTAAAAGGTTGCATGAATGCGCCTGCAGTCCGAAGGAAATCCCCCGCAAGACGGATCAAGAAAAATAAGTGTGGGAGGCAGGAGACAGTGCATTTTTAGAGCGGTATCGTCCCACATTCATGACTAATGCACATCGGTTATCGTCATCGGCTTGATGAATCGTGTCTTAGAAAGGCAAATGTGCGTCCCAAGGTAGTCTGCAAAGAAAAAGATCTGCTTTGATTGAACACTGGGTATCTGTGTATCGAATTTGTCTGTGGGGGCAAACACATCAAAATAGGAATTGGAATTAAAAATATATACATAATGTGCAACGTGCATTTCCGAAGTCAAACATCGGAACTCTTTTGGTAAAAATAAGTTCAGCAAAATTTAATTATACATTGGGCTTTTTTCAAATGCAGCCATTCAAAAATCCACAAAGAATTTGGAAAATTGCATGCTGCTTTTTAATGTATGCTAGTAAGTTTTAGCAGTACGCATTTTATTATTGTTGTTTTTATTTTTATAATCAGGTGACATGCACCCCCTATGTGAAAAAGGACCTTGCTTGTGAACAAGAATGCCCTTTAATTTCTGCCATGTTTAGGAAATTTAATTATTGAAGACAACTAACCTCACAAGGATTTCTGAAGTCTGTAACAATGCCTTAAAATATACACCCGCCCGCCTCGTTACTGCGACTGCATCTACGACGGATGTCTGCTGTTCGTTTTCATAGTCAGCAGAAGATTTTTCCATGTCATAATGAAAATTGTGAGCAGAATAAGATCGTGATTGAAGACTCATTTTATATTAGTTTACAAATAAATTATTATTTTTGCTTGGACGTATCATACAAAAAAGAATAACAGCGCCCGCCTATCTAAGTTCGGTAAAAAGGATAATGTGATTTTATCAATGAGAAACGCGGTAGATTATGAAGTCCCATTGGAACAGGCTTAATTGAGTGCCGATTTTTCGCGTAGCTTATTCGGCTTTGCCATCGTCGACGTCTAAGTTTTTTGTTAGCAATGCACTATTTTGGGCCGGCATCAAGATAAAATCCAACTTCTGACCCAAAACAGCGCTTGGCATGTAGATACAGACGGTCGAAATTTTTGCGTCCCAATCAGTCGTCTCGATGTAGCACTCACTTGGTCAGCTGAAAGGTTTCCTTAAGCAATGTAGGAACCGTAACTTGGACTGTCGTAGCGCACATGATGTATGACAAAATTGCTAAAAGTTCGATTTTCTGCAAGAAAACAAACAACGGACGTAAACCCGATAATGGGATTCCGTGAAAACAAGGGATTTGTAACGTATTGAGCCTGCTGAATACGCAAGCCAGAGTCAAGCGTTCGAACTGTGACGTTTGCCCGGCAACTGACTTCAGCAATTTCGTAAATTCCCACCAATTAAGTCTGCCCTGTTGCATATTTCGAATGGAACGAGCGGTGCTGTAAGTCAGAAGCCACTCACACGGTGATGCCTAGGCTTGTTCTCTTTGGGCCGTCCGAAAAAAGTAATAATTTGTGTTATTTTCGTCGAGTACAGATGATTTCCTTTGTACAAAACACAAGCAACTTTTTTTGGGAATGTTACAGTAAATCACTATAATACAAGTATAAAAGTGCCTCGTGTGCACTATGAATGAAACAAATAGCTCAACATTTTGCCTGCCATTTTAGGGAGGAAGAAATGTCAGAATTACTTCTTCATTAAAGACACTATTTCACTAACGTTTGACATTCGAATTACCATTCTGGAATATTGGTTGCGCTTACAGAGCAATGTCTGTCACTTCTGGTACACGTCCACAGTGCTACAACAGTATTTTTCTATGTTAAGACCAAACAATGATAGAACAAGTGAATGTGGTATGCGTACTTATAGGTGTACTAAATATGCCTAGTTGTTTCATGTGTTCTAGGAAAGTAGCTTCTAACAGCACTTGACAATTTATTAATACGAACTTTATCCATAAGACAATGATGTATTCCAGATTTAACTCCTGCGCAAGTTGTTTAAGCACGACAGTTCACGTGTTGCAAATTCACTTTAAGCCGTATGCAATAAAAGTCCGAAGTCATCGATATTTCCGAGCAGTACAGTAAAGGACATGTCGTGTGCATTTTAGCAAAGATGAGACGCAGTAGTCGGTATCGCTTAAATTAATTCCATTATATCAGAGTGACTTCAATATGCCGGTTATAGAACTAATTTCCCTATGCCAGCCTGCAGGATGCGCAATAAATAAAAACGAAACTTCAAACAGTTTCGTTTTCCGCCCCATATTTTAGATTACCTTTTGAATTCAAATAATTTTTTTAAAAACATGCGCAAAAACTTTATTATTTACTCATTAAAGGTGACTTTAAAGTTAATTCTTGAAGAAATAGTAGTTTCATTTAAAAAAAACTCTATCGCGAGATCCTTTAAGACTGCAAGATGTATATTTTTAATAAATTCATGAAAAGTCGCCTATAAAATGCACATCAATGTTCACGTCCATCACCACAAATTATATAAGCCCTACATATTATCTTCATAACAACCCATATAAACAAAAACGTTTCCTTAAAGGAGATGAGGCCTACCTGTAGTTTTAAAGTCCTAAATGCAAGGGTTAGTGCAAAACGAGTTAAAATATGTTAAAAGATAATTTAATTTTATTCCTGCAACTGCAAATGGTATAAATAGCAAGCTTATTGTCAAAGGAGTATAAGAATGACTAGGCTTTTGCATGTTCTATATAAAATGCATTTCAGTTTGATAAAGCGTCAAAAAAACTTTGAAAACATCATACTGCTTATGCGCGCACTTTGCTGAGGCAGTTTTTGTCGACTAATAGAATGTAACTTGCCCGAAGTCTGACATGCCGAAGTGAGTAAAATGTCTTGTAATTTGGCTGCATATTATTTAGTGCTCAATGCCATCTATACAATATCTTATGATGGTATACACATTTCAAAATTTGGGTTTATGCTACATGATATAATGATGCCAATACACTTACAGGCTCTATGCGCAGAAGGGTAGCAAAGTAGAAGTTTCGAATACGAGATGATAGGGGTCTGAGTACAAAAAGGGCAGAGTACCTTTGCAATTAGACGAGCAAACACAAACGATCGGCCAGCGTAGTCTTTACAAAGTATGACATACTTTGTTATAAATGATCCTAACATATGTTTCCAATTTTAAAGGCGTTTTTCTAACCCTACACTCTGCTGATTGTCAGTTCTTTTGCGTCCCATCAACACAGGCGAACTCATAATTGGATGTTAATTCACAAATATAATTTAAGAATAAGTCGATATGCAAGTCATTTTAAATCTTTTTATTTGAAACACTACACGAGCGACTAGTAATGCGGGCTTTACTTGTGTCTTATTGACGACTGCGTAATGCTTTTATGAAAGGTAACTCTCTGGAAGAAAATCGACAGTGTGGCCAAATTTTAAACAATCGGACACACCTCGTAACCCATTACAACATATCTTGCTATTATAGCGATATGCATCGCTGTTTGGGCCATTTTGTACATTTGGCCGTAGTTCAGGAAGTTTTTGAGAAAAATCTATTTAGCGGTTTGCCTTATTTATAGCATGCTAACAATCGTGCCTTTGGCTGAGTTCATATTTTCAAGAACCTTACACACAGCCTCGTTGCGTTATTTTTATGCCTGCAGTTGAAACCCTATGCTACAGAGGATACTCACTGCAGCTAACACCAAGTGCGTAGGCGGATGTTTTTCTTTGATTTTTCTAATTGCAGACTGACGTTGCGTGTTTTCAGGTGACATCATTGCCACTTTTGTGAGGTTTTTCAGATGTGGAAGATATACCGCGTCAACGAAGCCTCAAAGAAGAATGTGTGGGCTAAGTTAACACTCACATGATTTCCGTAGCATAACAATTTGATCCCGTCTCCTTGACAATAGGTACGTCAATGTCTGATTGATGTGACAGTCTCTGGTTTACTTACGCTAGATGTGCCTGCAGTACAGTCATACCGTGAAAAATAATCAAACGCCGTTTTTCCCCACTGGGCGCGTCATAGGCAGACCAATTCTCCTTCAAAACAATAGGCGATTTCATGAGCAGTAGGAATTTATAATTCATGTGGAACACATTGAGCAATTTTCTGAATAGGCTTTCACCGCAGTTTTTTTCAAATTAACATGCTTTAAAATAGTCATTTATTTCACATCGACAGCGAATGGCATGTCAGGGATTGTGTATTTTAACAAAGCGGTCGACACGTAGGTTTGTATGGTCGTGGTAGCATCGTGAGATCAACGGATATTCAGTCTTAATTTATTGGAAGATTTACTTACTGGAGCTGTGAACTTGTTTCATAATTATTGACAGTTTTAATTCAACTGAGACTCTTAAAGAATTATTTCCTTGATTTTATACCAAAGCAGTAAAAGAAGGCATATTGTTGTGCATGTTTTCTATAAGTTATTTTTGAATTTACAATACCAGCAAAACTCAATAGGTAAAATGCATGTCATATAAGTAGTCAGTTTTTACTGAGTGTGCTTTCTGCAGGGGGAGCAAAAGGAATTTTAATCAAAGGCCGACATGCTGGCAAGTCTGAAATACTATAATATTTTGCCTCGTGATGATCAGTATTACAATACCACCTAATTAATTCTTCCTAATAAGAAATGCATTTCAGAATTTCGGCCAAAATTTCGTGAGATAGGTCACGCATTGTAAGTCAAGAATTGTAACGAGTAATTCATCAGGCATTTAGATAAGTCAAACATAAAAGCAGTCTTGTTCAGATTTTAATCTTTACCAAATAGCACGAAGTAACCAGCAACTAAAACAATTCTTCGGTGTCTTAATAGATGATTCTCTAAGGAAACGGTCCTTGCATATGACACACTTAACCACGGTGATCACACGAAAAATTAGCAGGTTTATACGGAAATGCACGTTCATAGCACATGCCAATATTTGAGGTGCCAGTGACAGACCGATTTACATTGCAGTTTGCACTAACTGTGATCCAGACCGCGCTTCATACTCGTTGTTTGCTAAAATCCCAGTCATATTTTCGTTGTCGACTACGGGATGCGGTTGTACACCTAGATGTGGCTCCGGTCGCGTCACGCGCCTGCGCTCGGTTCCGCTCCGGTATTTTTAAATATATCTTGATACCAAACTCAGGTTGGAAAAGAGGAGAGGATGTTGTTTATGCTAGGAAAATCTTTTGTCACCACAAAAGAACTCACGTACGAGTTCCGTTGCCTGCTTTCACCCTGATGTGGAGTACACGGAGGGCATCGTAGGCCACGGCGGTCGAACTGTTATTTTCTAGAGATGTACGCAATTGTCACATTCTCTTTGGGATGGGCGGGTGTGAAAACCGCTACCGTTACAATAAAAAACGGGCAATATAACTTGTGTATATATTCCAAGAAAGACCTATTAATTAAGAACGGGTGATATCCACCTAACGAATATAAATTTGACATTGCTTAGGTAGTCAGGTAGCAGGTTCCGAATTGGTAGGTGGCCTACGTCAAAGGGAGGTTGGACAGTTACCATTAAACAAATTAATTAAGCTCACAGATGTCAATCGGGGCTTTGTAAATCGGGCGGTTTAAGTACTGGGTTGCACTAAGATCCAGCCCGAGCTGCCCATGGGTTATTATCGTACTGAGGTTACTAATGCTCTAATGATTGGGTCAACTAAATATCATTTTTTATCAAAAAACAGCACAGTTTTCTGGGCTTGTTATACGAATTAGAAGGTCAAAAATAAATTATTATTCTTTTAGAGCCATGGCTAAAAGTTGTTACATCAGGCCAACAGTATTTAATTAACAGACCTCTGGGTGAATTCTTATTCTCTATTTGTCCAAGCGTTCAAATGCTTAACCGTTCAAGCAGCTAATCAGTTAGGACAAATCATTGTGTATGACGATTCGGCTGCAACTAACGGTAATCCCCTTTTCACTGAGGCTAATTATTTTGTAATTTGCTTATGACTTTGTGTGCTAAACCGTGTCTTCACACCAGAACGAAGGACTGCAACTATGCGAGTCAGCTAAAAGTTCATTTACGTCGGTTGTTTTGTTCAATATCACGCGCAGCGGCACAGATTGAAGGACATGCATTACGCATGCAGCCACTGCGTATAAACTGCATATTGATAGGTTGTCAATGAAAATATATATATATGCTTAACTAATGGTCAAAGTCAATTCCGCGAACTCCTCCTCTCTAATACTTTAAACTACAGTGTTTCCTACAATGCGGCCGAACTCCGTGCTCTGTGCATTTTTGCTTTTCCACGTGATCCACGCGTGCCGCCGAGAAGAACGTGAGCAAATTTTATCAATTTCATCTTAACGCTCTTTAGCATGACTTTTTACCGAGTAATACATCACCGAGAAACCCAACTTAATCAGTACAAATCTATGCTTAGAACTATCAACATGGACAGACGTATTTCTTACTAAAACGTTAATTAGTTTTACAATGAAAAGTGGAAAGTCAAGATAAATTAGTCACAGCTATTTAATTACCATATTGGAAACAGGGTCAGTTCGCTGAAGTATTGAAAATTTAACTATGGGAGGGAACAGTGCCCATGATTCGTACTACCAACTGTGAAGCGAAAATACTTGACGTACAGCAATGAGAGTAATAAAGATAATAAATAGACGGATTCATAAATAATTGAAATTTTCACTGATAAAATTCAGCATAACGAAGATGGGTACCGTAAAATAAGCACAGGCGCTTTGTATTTCGTTAATTTCAAGCCTTGCTCAACATACAACCTTCGCACTAGTTCACTGTGAGATATAGTAATTTAACTTAATGACATCGAGGTTTAACTTTAGTTCTTAGGTGTAGATAAACCCTTTAATACTTTAATACATTATCTGGCATTTGCCGAATTCTAAAGGCCTGTTTATGACGAGAAATGATTACTTAGATGTGGATTTTCGTATGTTTGTTTATGCCAGATAAGCCTTCAATATCTCAGGTACATATGTAGATTGACATTTAATTAAGTAAACATCACGCACTTTACACATAACAGCAGCATGATATTTCCACCAATTTGGGATTCTTTATATAGGCGGACATGTTTCTTACGACAGAGCGACGCAAAATATGCCTTCAGTTGCACATTTTATACGTAAAGAAACATATCAAACACAATGCTTAACATGACGCAAATTAATCAAAATCTGCTGTGACCAATAAACGATATTAACGTAATTAACATAAAAAGTGTATAATGTGCTAACATCACAATTATGCGCTATTTAAATTGCAAAAATCGAGAAACAACCGGGATTGCAACTGGGTTCACGTTTTTCGAGATTTGTACATTCTAATAAAAACGCTATCTGGCGTTTTTAATCATTTCTGACAGGGAGCTCATGTCTGAATTTCGGTCAACACTTATTAAGATAAGTCAGACATCGCGTAAGGAGAACAAATTTCGCTACCTTCGATAAACGTTGGATCTATTTGGCTACAGAACGTAGTTTAAATTATGAACATCTCACTGCGCATGCAAAACTAAAGCGACAGAATGGACAATTAATGATCGGGACCAGAATTACTTTGGTAGTTTTTAACAAAATTTATCTTCTAACAGCAGTAATACATTTGAGAAAATTCCAATGCCACCATGTGCAGCGCGCAATCGGCTATGTTGAAAAATGAGATGTAATAGAAAACACGCAACATTTCATCATGCAACAGGCAGTTATATTAGACGGAACAGATTTAAAAGAAAAAATAAAAGGCAGATACACAATTCGCCGTGTTTCAAGAGCAGAGGCTGATAGGTAGTTCCTTTAATCTAGCGAAAAAGACACAACCTGCCCAATATTATAAAGAAATCAAAACAAATCATAGTATTTGAAAATTAAAACATATTCAATAATTAACTCTGAAGAAGACACGATTAGCTGCAAGATGAGTGCAAAAAATGGAGCATTACATATTTTTTATAAAAAGCATTTGACTATTTACAGAGGATCAAAAATCGACGGAAAACCGTAATACTTGAGAAAAGATAATCCATTTCGAGTTCAGTTATTGTAGCTGACTTTAAAAAGCTCATTAGAAATCTTGCATTATGGCGCAACTGAAAAATCTTGTGTTCGCCTTGCATGAGGAATAATAGTACAACAGCGACATTGCATGAGATATGCCAGATGATGCATGTCCCACTCAACTGCTTGCGGAAAATCAAATTTTTTGGCACGTTCAGTGAATGAGCACATGTCACGTGAGTAACCATAAGTTCTACTGGAAGTCTCTGCTACTCCGCTTCCTATGTTCGAATGCTTGAAATTTTAATCACTCACTGTCTCTCCCTGGTTGAATTTCGGTACCCTGAACAGGGCATGTTACTGTCGCATTGCGTAGCCACATTAGGCAAATAGTAGTGAACTCAAATCCTCCTTTATTCATGAAATACTGTTGGAATACGACCGATTATTACAGCGAAGTTGGGCAAATGTTATGCGCAAAGAAAAAGAATAGCAAGGTGATGATTGGCACACGGTCTATGAAGTAAAAGTGTAACATTTAGCAAAAACTGTCAGGACCGCAAAGTAAATTTGAGCAAAAAGTAGAGATTTTTGCAGACGAATGCTTTTATCAAAAAGTCTGCATCTTCATTATCTAATAACTCCGGGTCAGATTTGCACATTTATATTGCATATTGACAAACTATTATACCTGCATTTAAAGTTTATAACATACAGTACGTGGACTAACTCATTAAAGGTTGGCGGTAATTCCGAAATGTGTTTTTGTTTCGAAACAAAAAATGACTAAAGGTTGTCATCATGTTTCAAAAATCTATGGTAATCCAGTTACTTCAGGATGCCGCCAATCGAACGAACCTATTTTCAACTGCATGTAAAAACCATACATTGCAGAACTTAACTACCTTAGAAGCATAAATCTTTGTCATTGATTTTCGAGGACCCAAAAAGTGATTATAGTTTATGGAAAGTATGCATAAAATGTATTCTCGCCTTTACTCAATCGGTGGGAAATAAAGTCATCTTCTAATATTATAATCAAAGGAAGGGTATTTTTCGGCTTTCAAATCTTTTTTCAATTCCCGAAAACTTTTGGACCTGACCTGCCCTTGTGCGTGCATTCAGCGTTTCCAATCCACAAGCCGTATATTTTCTTCGTAAGGAAATCCACATATTTCTCTACGTTATTGAGGGAAGACTATATGTGTTCAAACATTTGGCAGTGGATATGAACCATATTGTTAACTTTAAAGAACATATATCTTAATGCAAAGACATGACGTTCTAGGAGCGTCATTTACCGGTATTAACAAATCTTACAATAAGGAACTTTTTAAAAACCGCATTATACTCGTCCTCTGATTATGAAGTCAAAAGTATACGTATTATTTTGTTAGATGAGTAAACATTAAGTGTTTATATGTACGTTTTCCATAAAACTAATTAAATTTTAAAGGCCATCAACAATTGAAGAGAAATATGCATGCTACCTTAGCAGCCATTTTTTAAAGATTATAATGTTTTGCATGCAGGAAAAAATAATTTCTTTTGAAAATTGGCATCTTGAGGTAACTGAATTATTATACACATATGCCGCATGGTGATAAACTTTACGACAATACTTAATAAATCCTTCTGAAACGAAAACGCATTTCGGAATTTAGGTTGACATTTCATGGGCCAGCCCAGCTAATGTACAATACAAATACTTGGAACACAGAAGGTATGACAACAAACCGAACGATTATAAGGAGCCTTATTTATGCAACTATAGAGGGTGAAATACTGGCTAATAGAAACTTCATAAGGGATAGTAGTGAAGTTGCACTTCTTATATCTCAACTAACCCCCATAATCTAAGAATTAGAATGAGATTAAACGTCCATGCAGTTTTCTGGGTCATTTTGTGTATATACGCAATTACTTTAATTCAAAGCGTATCTTTAAGAATACTCAGGAGTCAATAGCGATTTTAAAAGTGAGGCGAATATCTCTCCAAAAAGCATGACAGAAAATCGATTCCGCATTTCTTGGAGTCAACGTTTATATCTCGACATCGTTTTTTCACTGCACCGTTTTATTATCTAATCTGTGGTAAAATGTGTCTTTCATAATTAGAGTAATTAGCTTTACTAAACTCTGAAAGCATTAAAAGCCTGAAGGGGCTTAAACGCACGGTACTTATCTTAGGTCTGATAGGTCAGATTATTAGAGCTTTGGATGTACATCGTCTCTGCTTATGCTGCCGGGGGTTCTAATTCCGACGAGGCCGCTAAGCTTCGTCTGTTTTTTAAATGCAAGAAGACAAACTCATTTATTTAGAAATAACAGCTTTAAATGACGAAGCAGTGTTTAAAACTAATTTTCATTCGTAAACTTACAGTGTCCAGCATTTATGGACGATATATATAATATATGCAGGGTTACGATTTTAGTCCTAATGATTTTAACACATTTTCAGCTGATTTGAATCCAAGGGAACTCATCGCTTTGGCCCTCAGTCCCACCAAAGTTCAGCTCTCCTGGAAGCCGCCCAAATCTTTACCAGCGGAAAAGCAACGCTTCTACGTACTTCAAAATCAGACGCGCATTAGAATGATCAACGATACAAAAATATTAGTTGAAAAGCTCACTCCGCACACCAAATACGAATTCGGTGTTCAGACGGTTCTTGCCAACTACGACTATATCAGACCCGGCGTTTTTCTAACAGCTGCTACGGATGAACTGAGTATGCTTTCATTTAAAGTATACACATTTACAAATCTACGACTGCCAGTCATGCGAGAAGCAAGAAGCTGTCACATATATTTGTGTAAAATGCATACTTTTTGCATTAAACGCTTTGCGGTTGATCCCGCCAATGGCGCATTAACCCTGACATAGGCATTAGTGGTAACTAAGCCGTTCTCAGCCAATTTTTTGCTGAAGAGGCAGTCGGTTAAACCACCTGTTTTTGCTACTGCAACTCTAGCCAAAAATAAAAATATGTGCAATTTCATGTGAGAGTAATGGCAATTAGCCTATCGCTGCAGTGATGCAGTCGGTAAAGATTCCACCAAGACATCTTTAGAAGTGTTTGATTGCAGGCAGGCAGTATTAAATTTTTTAAAGTTTGTTTAGTTTAGCGGAGGTGACATACAAATATTGATACTTCAGCTGCAGCATTGTGGGTGAGGGATGTATTTTCAGTATCACAGTAGACCGTTAACTGCAAAGATAGAAGATGAACGTATGCATGAGAAAGTTTGCAGTTTTGGTTGTGGCCTCGTCAATTATAAACAACGCTAGAAACTATGTTCGGAGCGCTCAATCATACGCTCATTGACGTAAGAGCAGAGAGCAATTAGAGTAGAATTAGCCTTTCACAAGAATAGGTTTCAACTTTCTTAAAGTAGCGAATTTCCGGAAACAAATAGTTGATTTTTCTTTTTGCTTTTTCCCGACTCTCAACCATTCGGAAATTTATGCCTGCTAGTATTAATCAAAACAATTACTGCTAACTTTTCAAATTACATAATCAAGACGTGATTGGTGAGGACTTTTAAATTTTTGAAAACAGATATAAATTTAAACAAACATATTGACGCCGATTAATAACACGGAATAGTACACACAAGTACCTTAAGGCCTATGTTCGCCACCAGATTCACCAACGATTTGTGGTTTTTGTGACCCCCTTTCTGCGTAGCTGATCTCAGCCCAAGCAATCTCACTGCTCTGGTTCTGAATCCCAACACCATACGGTTCTCCTGGACGCCGCCTAGACTGCAACCTGACAAAGTGACGCTTTACTACCTACTGCAGAATGGCACACGTAAAAGAATGACTTGGGGCACAGGTCTGGAACTTCGGAACTTATCTGCCCACACTCTATACGAATTTTGCCTTCTAACAATGCTCTCCGACTCCGTGCTCGTTGAACCAGGCGCTTGTGTAACAGTTAATACAGATGAAATAAGTAAGTCTTATTTTTCTACCGCATACATCTATAATCTCCAAGCATTGATAAAACGAACGATTTCGGGAAACTGCTGTGCAACTTACAGTTTCTGCAGTACGCTCATTCTTTGCTTGCAATATGCAGTTCAATTGCGCATATAATTAATACTAAAATAGCTTATTAGCGATGTAATTGACATCCTAGTCGATTAACCCTAATATGGCAGCGTTATCTTAACGTCTGTAATCAGTGCACGATTAATTTAAAATGCCTTGTCACCGGGTACTTCAATCCATCGCTCGATTTCGGCATATGCACTTTCCTTCATGGATCTGTTACTGCGATTATAGTGACGAGGTTTAATTTGTTTTCGAGGGTCTCAGAATGTAAGCAAAATTCTTACCAAACGTAAGATCCGGGTGCGCACCTTCTTCGCAATAGCAGTACGTTTAAAAAGCAATTCTCCGCTATCTTATTATCCGCTGAAGCAATGGATTAATAGAGTACCTACGTGCAGATAGCACGACCGAGCATAATCACCCTGTAGAAAGCGCGACTGCAAACGCATCAAAACGAACTGAGTTCGGTGAGAAGGTGTGAAGGTCCGTTTATGGCAAAACGACGCTATTCATCTGAATGTTTAATTTCTGACTCCTTTTATTAGCCTGAACAGATAAAAACCACAGTAAAATGCGCCTGAAAGACGCAGCAACTCTTGAACACGGTTTCGACCAAAAATAAACTGGTAAGCATGTCACCGGCATGCTTATCATTGATGAGGGTTGCTTGATCGGTCATGTCTACATGGTGAATAGCAAATATTAGCAACATATAGACTGGCCATTAATATAAAAAGTATTCAGTTATTTTGCTTTTCGGTGGTGATACGGGGGCACGGTGAAAGGAACAGTATGTGGTCCCTGTGGAAGAAAGCCGTGGCCACAAGACTCGCACGGTCGTCCTCCAACGTGAACATTTTGTGATTGGTGATCTCGAAGTATTATTTGTCATTGGGGAGAGTCGTGCTTTTGGATTTTGAGTCACTAGTGTTAACGAATGTTGAGACATGCGTTTCAAAACAGCGTGCCCTTTTTGGCTGTGTAACGTGCAGTTGACCAGGTCATCAACGTCAGACATTCTTTGTTCTGCCAGTTAATCTTATGGCCTTAGTCCACGCGACCGGGACGTTGACATTTTACCTGCAATAGCAGATGCCGACCTCATTATTTAATCAAATGGGTCAGACTTTGGCGTTATTTTTGATTATTTTCATTTACACCGTTCTGTTTTGAATTCTAGGCCTCAATAAATCCATCAGCGTGAGCCACCTCCTCTGGCTGTCGTTGCTTCCTGTCATTTCTGCGGTTATGCTGTACCTGTAATTTCGCTACATAGTTGTGAAAATAATAAATCGACCGTACGGGGACTTCATCAGTACTTTACTAATTGTAAGGTGCACACCTGATCCCATCTCCCGATTTATATCCTAACTGAAGCCCTCATTGTTGTTCCACTCCCAAATTATAATTAAATATTCAGAAGAAGTTGCTTTTGATTGTAAGATGGTATTTTGAAATCAACAGGTTTTGGACGCCGCTATTGATAAAATCGATGCAGTAGACAGCAGAAGATAAAGACGGCTGTTCACATTAAATGGTTAGAGATCAGAAGTTGACACGGTACATTTAATCGCAGATTCGCCATTACAGTGAGTCCGCTTGAGATCAAAGCAAGATGCTAGGTGTTTAATTTAAAATAGAACAGAAAAATCCAAAAGAAGTTGATAATTTAGGAAATTGGTGCATGTGAACGGAGAAATCCGTGCATAAATTGGAAAAAATACATATGGGGCTGCAATACACCTTTCTGGAGCGGACAATAGCAATGTTTGTTCATTCTGTAGGTTTATATGGGTTTAACCTGGATGATTTCGACATCCAGTATTTTTTCGTTATCCAGATTCCTCCGGTCATACTATAAGCATTCGAATTGTCGCACCTTCTACAACTTTAAATATTCCACTGAGTATTTATGGATATGTAAGAGGGTAACGTTAACGTTTTGTCTTGACACTTTCTACATTTGGTTTAAGAGCAAAAAAACTGCAATGCACTTAGAATATTGTTATAAATCCCCTCTATGACAAGCATTTGGCTTTATCCCTAAAGATGTTCTAAAGGAATATTGAGCGAATCATGAAATTTAAATTGATCACAGAATATGCGGCAAGACGTAATCAAACAAATATCTTGTGGATATTGAATCGAATTGCATGCTTCACAAAAATCAAATAAATAAGCAAAAAAGCAGCATGAACAGCAACTGCTTTCTCGCCGTCAGAAATATGTGTGTGTTGACTAGTGAATTACTGTTTAACCTGAAATTTAAACTTAATTGCAACAGCTTTGCAAAGGATGTAAGCAATACGTCCTGCTCATATTTAATGAAATCCCATGCACTGAATTTTGTAATTCATTTCTTATTCGAAATTATGCTTTGTTGTGGCACTTTAAATTGTGCAACCCAGAACCTACTTCACTTAGCATGCGGCGGGAAATGCTTTGTTCTACACTGATTTCCATTAGAGCCTCTGTCTCTGAAGGGACAAATTTGCTTATATCTGGGTGATATATATAAGTTGTGTGATCTCATCATGTCAGGAGAATATCGGAACGTATATTCGGTCCGTTTAAAACACCTGAAAGCAAATTAAGAAATGGGTAATTTCAAAATACAATAGATAGGCAAACCTGTAAGGTCAGAAACTAATGAATTTTCTCAAAAGGCGGAAGTTATATCAAAATGTACAAAGGCTGTAGACACCTAGTCAAAATAAAGCTGGGTTAGAGGTACGCAGGGGGATGGGAGAAATGCAATTCAACACATAATATCTCATAAATTAATTGAAACACTTAATTTAGTTCAGAATATTTAAATTGGGGTAATGAAGCCAAACAGTAATATGTTGTATAAATTAAAAGAGTTGAAAGGTTATTTAACAAATACAATGCTTCACGTTCTCCTTTGCTTTCGGTAGTCGTGGAGATTAGTGAAAAAGCGCCGTACCTTACGTGGGCCAAATCCGCCATAGTGTCAAACGATTGGTATTTCAGTTTGTTGTCAACATAAAGAATATGTTTCTGATCTCCTCTGACAATTCAATAAAGAAATCAATTGCTTTCTTATCATCTTGGCGAATACGTGCACACTGTGGGACGTTGGAAATCTAAGTTCGGCAAGGAACCCAAACTTCGTGTCTACTATGCTTACCTATTTCTTCATCGTGCTTCTAAACTGTACCTATTGAATAATTCAGTTTTTTGACCGTATTACCATGGTCTTACAAGGAGCCGTTTAGACGATTGCTCGCAAGAATCTTCATCCGGCTATCTTGTAATTTCCGGTCATCAGGCGCCGGAGAAGTAAATATCGTTCGATCGAAATTTGCGGTTTAGAGTTGACACTTTCGAACATCTATAGCATTTAGCGACAAATTTCGCACTTGGGGGTCGGCGATGGCCATGGAAGACAGAGCGCCAGTGTCAGAGTTTTCTGGCAGCATAGCACAGGATTGGCTGGCCGTATAGCCACTGCTTTGGCTGTAGCAAGCACCTGTTGGCGTAGGCCTCTGGAGAGGCTTGCTGGTCTCCGGTAGACAGCCTGAAACACTTCCTTTGTATCGACTCAGTGATTCGTATCGACAAGATGTGCAAGAATTGAACTCGAAATCGATCTGTTTTCACCTCTACCTAGCCAGGAAGGTATGTGTTCGCGTACTCTCTTTTGCAGACGCCTCGTTCTACGGCTAATCTATCCCGCTTCACAGGAGCAAGTGAATGCGTAAATACAAATTGCTGTGGCTGCAAGGATAGTCGGTCTTTACCTTCCAAACGTAGGAGGTAGAGTTCATGAAGCGTAGGCGAAAATCCGCCACAGAGAAAGCCCTAGCGATCGCTGACTTCAGACGTCTTCTTACTTGGTTATACGCTTCGTCTCCCTAAAAAGGTAGTCTTGTAAATAAACATTTATTTATTTATTTATTTATTTATTTTAAAAATGCTCTCCCCTATATTTCGGAGGATAAATCTCGCTGGATATCCGTTTTCGTGGAGTATATCCCGCAGTTGGTGGCGTTCTGACTCCATAATCTCAGGAAAGCTAATATGCGCACTCTAACTATCAATCCCTGGACGGTATTGCGTCCAACAGTTAGAGGTAAAAAGCCGTAAAAATTAATGTATTATCCTACCCAGGTTTACTTTCAGAATACCCTACGCCGAATGGAACCATCCTCTTGTCTGTGCAGAAGAACATCGAGGAATGCGATTTTGTTGTTTAGCTTAAAACTCTGCAGAGACCTGACGCGAGAGGAGTTCAATGTTAACTTTTGGACCAGGGTGTCAGTGTCGGTGGTAAGATCGACCAATCAGGAAATATTCTCTGCATACCGACTGTAGAGGTTAAGGTCACTTATAATATCCTGTAACCCTGTATCATCGAACTTTTAACTGAAGACATTTGGGAGGAACGGACCAAGCGGTGAGTCAAGCGCCCTGCCGCCTATTTGCCTGTATAATTCATCATCATAGAGGAACTGAACATTGTACTTGCAACGTGTCAGTAGCTTTTTTAACGTTTTAATTGGTATGCCCAACGGGAAGTTCAAGCGGCGGATAACGTTAAAATGCTATTATATTGTTTCGGCTATGGACACGTTGATAAAAAGCGATGCTTTGCTTAATAATAGTATTCTCCATCCGTCAACGTTCATATTCGTGAAAGTTTCATAAAGCTCAAAATGGCTCATCCATTTAGGAGGGTACAAATGACATTGCAGTGGGGTGAGTTATTCGACTAGCCACATTACGATGTTGTGATAGGGCGAATTTATCATATCCAAGATTGGACGAGTGGGGTAGACCGTGTTTGTGAATTTTTGAGAGGCTGTATACAGAGGCCGTGTTCACTGGTCTTCGCTGCCTATATTCTTTGCCAGATAAATGACATTTTTTGTAAAGATGTTTGAGGACAGCCATCGGCCTCTATGAGGTCCCTGTCCCTCTCGGATTTCGAGAACTCTGTGCAATCCGACAGGATTGCCTGCAGTTTATCTACGTTATCTTTTCTATCCACCAGTACAACTCTCGAACACTTCTCAAGCCTGATTAGCGCAATGAAGTCCCTCAGGCTATCGAGATAGACCATTGTCAAGACCTATTTTTTTCTTAAAGCTTTCATTGAGCACTGTTGACAGCAGTTAACAATATTCGACTTAATATTTCGAAATGCTTTAGGCCCGCTGTGTTTAAGATTGGTTTTTATTTATAAAACATCGTATTTTCATTTTTATTAAGTTTTTAAACTGTGTACATGGCGGTATTTATCCAATGAAACGTTTTAGGTTTACTGCATGTCAAATTCATCAGTGCATAAAATTTCATGATTTTCCATACTTGGAAAGAACACCGTTTTTAGTTTATATACCCTGGATGTAAGTGTGATGATAAATCAGGCTGAAAATTATTTCGATAAGTGTAAAATTTTTTACAACCCATTTGTGCGCTTTCTTGAGTTAAAAAAATAAGGGCGGCCCACTTTGCTACCAAATGACTGTACGAATGAATATGTTTTGGATGTTTTATGTGAAGTATGTGAATTCATAACGGCATCAATAAATAATGCACAAAAAGCACACTACTTTAATGACAATCTTCTGAAAAGTTTAGGTCTTGTTGACTTTCGGTGAGCATCTAATTCAAAGGCCGACATCCGATTGTGATTAAAATAATCAAGGATTCTGTACTAAAAATGTAAATATTGCAAATCTACTGAAGTTAACATTTTCTATATGAGCAAAAGATCAGTATTTTGTTTAATGTTAACGAGGTAGCGCACAAAATGTGTACTTCGCATTTCGTTATGCTTAGTCTAAAATGCGAAATACATATATAAAACTTATTCCCTAGACAAAAAAGATATTCAGTGATCAATAGTTTGAGGTAGATGCATGAAAACCTACTAAAGATATTTCAACTTAGTATCAGAAAAATGACATTAATTTCGGTTAGCTTTGGGCTCCGTAGCAGACACTTCCGACAACAGGTTGGTTAACGTCGCATGTTTCGCCGTCTGCTTTTTAGTGCTTGCAAATCTATGTATGCATGCGTTCAGGAATGATCAGTTTGGTTTGCCTGAGGAAGTTTTATTAACTGCGATTGAAGCACTGCCAATACATGAGCATGTTTACAGGTTGCGTTACTACCCATGCGGTCTTAATTACTTCGGTAGTTTGCTTTTTGATTTTGACTCTAAAACTCTCAATTCCGTCATCTTCCTACGAGAACTCGGATGTAGGCGACACTGTCGAGTCATGTGAATGTAT